GATGCATGAATATCTGAAGCGAGGGTCAGCGGAATTCTGCTAACTCATACTATTTCCACAAAATAATTACGAGTCAATTAGTGCATGTGTTGCATCAATAAGTATTGAACAGAGTTCAATTGCCGATACAACATCAACAATCAAGAACCCCTGAATCTCATTGATTTTGACCAGGTCCCTAAAAATAGCAAGTGCATGGCAGTAATACTGATACCAAATATGCAACGACAACATCATGACAAGCAGCAGTACACAGCAATCAACTGCGTTGAACTAAAGCGGACTTACACGATCAGCGAAGAGGCTCTCCTTCTTGCTCGTCTTGAAGAGCGCTAATTGGAACTCCTCCTGCACAGTGCGAATAAATCAGAACGACAGAGCCACAGCACCCGGCGGATGATTCACAATACCTAAATACAATCCTCAGAACATAACCTACAGTGATACGCAATCTACAGTGCTTACATACACAGAATTGAGCTGCGAAACAAGCACTCGTCAGCAACCACCTACCTTGTTAATCAGCCCGTCATCGATCACGGCGCTGCTTATCTTCTTGAAGAGTTCGTACAGCGCCTCGACCTCGCTCACGCTAACTGCGCCACGCACAGAAATCCAACCCAGTTCAGCGCTCAATTCAGTTCAGTTCCCCCGCCACGAAATTGAAGCAGAAAACAACGGCGACCAAAAGCGCAGAGGGACGTACAGACGGTCTCCCGCGCGAGGACCTGGGGGTCCTCGAGCCCCCGCGGCTGCTTGAGCTCGAGGTCGCAGCACTTGAAGAGGACCGCGAGGAGGTGCTTCACGCCGTCGAGACACTGCACCATGGTATGCGCTCCGCTACCTCCGCCAACAACGCCCCCGCGGGACCCCCTCTAGTCATCGCGGCCGCCCATTCCGCGGCCGACCGGTCTTCGATCCTGCGCGGGTCGACCACCACCCAGTCAGTCAGCCGCAGCGCTGAACCCGCGTCGTGAGGCGGAAGATCCGGTCGCCCGGGCTCTGGACTCTATAGCAAAGGGGGAGCGGACGGGCGTACCTGGGGGTCTCCCTCCGGGAGGGGAAGGAGCGGCGCGTGGGGCACGATCCGCCCTCTCGCTCGCCGCCGGTGGTCGTCGCGGGGGGCGGCGGGGTGGCTAGGGCACCGGGGATTCGAGGAGGGGGAGAGGGAGGGGGGAGCTCTGGCGGCAGCGGCAGCGGCAGCGGCAGCAGCGGGCGGAAGGAAGCAATCAATCGAGTAGCGTGCGCGGACGGGACGCGTCTCGTCTCCGCCCCGTCGTTTTGTTTCCCTGGGGTGGGAGTGGGAGGTTCGTTTGGGGTGCGCCGACCCCCCGTCCGGGCCTCGTTGCCATTTCGGGCTCATGATTGGGCTGCGGGTTCGCAGGGGGTGGGGCCCACCGCGGCGAGCCACCGCACGCAGCAGAGGAGCCAAGCCGGAAGGAGGAGGAGGGGGAGAGCGAGCGAGCGAGGGAGGGAGGCCGCCCAACTGTTTAGTTCCCCGGAATACTTTACGCCTGTCTCCGTGCCACTCGCTTTATTTTTTTATTTCGGTCGCCATCTACCGTTTGCTTGTCTGCCTATAAGAGGTGATTTTGTTGATAAGGCAGTGGAAACTTTTGAAAAGAGATTGAGTGAATATATCACTTATTTTACATACTGTCTGGGTTTTTTTTATAGATGATACATAGACCTTTTTTTCTCTCCTTTTTCTTCATGTCCCATGTACTCCATGTTGTACATTATAGGGGTAGGGCTAACTATGAGAGTTAACAAAGTCACATCTAACGTCCACATCATTTGATTTTACCCGGAGATTCGTGGGGATTTTCTTTTCTTCTTTTTCCTGTTTGATTGATCAAATAATGTACAAGTTAGATGTGAATTTGTTAATTATCATCTAGATGAGAATTAGCAAATATGTAGATTATAGCCACGAGCCATAGAGTTTCAATGTATGACTACATGCTAACGTGCGGTTTGCCGTCCCATTCTCCACTCGTGTGATTAAACTTTTTTTTCTCCAGCGGGTTATGCGGCCAACTGTTTTCATTTTGGTTTATCCACATTGGCTTGGTTTTATTTATATTGTGGCAGTGTTTTTCTTTCATTTGTATATCATGTTGAGGCTATTGAGGACAAATATTTGTTATGAGAGGAGAGTGATATTGCTACGTGCGTGGTTATGGAGTCCTTGCACGTTTCGGCCGTAGCGTCTAAAAGTGATGGTTGTGTGAGCCCCTTGGGAAATCTTATTTCATATTGAAACCATTGAATTGCTGCTATCATGCTAACATGGGTCACGCATGAAGCTCTCGCTCGCTCGGCTTGGCTCGCTGCTCCGCTAGCTCGCGTCATTTTGTTTTTCACTCGCTCCATTGCTAGCTCCAAAAAAAAAGGCTATTGTATTATTTATTCGAAGAAGTTCACTATTCAGAAAATCTTTGGTTTTAATATTTTTAACTTTTCAAAAATGATTTAAAAAAAATGTTCATGAGTTTAAAAATATTCATGGATTTAAACAATGTTCTTAAATTTTAAAAAGGTTCTTAAATTAAAAATATCAAATTGTAAAATATTTGTGAACTTTTAAAATAATCATGAATTAATTTTTTTTTATATTTTTATTAATGTTTATGACTTATTAAGTGTAAAATAAAAAAGAGAAGAAAACAAAAAATATAAAGTAGAAACAGAAAAAGAAAAGGCAAGAAATAACCAATAGAAAACCCATTAAATCCGGTGAAAAACATAGAAAATGAAATAAAATGTAAGAATAAAAAGAGAAGATAAAAGAAAAAAACAAACAAGAAAGATAAAGGCAAGAAAACCCAAAAGAAAAACTATTTGAACTGGTGAAAAACACATATAGAAAGAAAACAAAAAATCAAGCAATACCTTCTCATAACCAGGAAAACTAGCTGGCCCAACGGCACACAGAGGGGCTCCTAGCATCTCCCACAACCCTCTATGAGGAGGCTCCAAATCTGGAGTTCCCGCTAACAGAAAATAAAAAGCTTCAAATCTTTTTTTAACTTATCTTGCATGTAATGTCCAATGAATCATTCAAGCATTTCAGTCTGGCATAGCAGACAATACCTGTCGTGTGGTAAAAAGAAACTAGAGCGGTAATCCATTTCTGAGTCCAGGCTCAGCTGCACCCGCCTTTACGAAAAAAATCAAAACAAATACTAGAAAAATTCAAAAATTTACAAATTTTTTTGTGTGGTAGATAATTTGATGCGTGAGGTACGCTTTAGTTTTCAAATCATTTGGACATCTGAGCAGCTCTCGGCAAAAAAAGACAAATTCGGGGTCTGTAAAACATGTTTATTGTTCAAGCACTGTTCTGACCTGATTTATCTTTTTTGCTGCGAGCTTCTCAGAAGTTCAAATGATCCAAAATTTGGAGTGGACCTCACGTGATAAATTGTCTACCATGCAAAAAAATATTGATTTTTTTGTGATTTTTTTTTCGGGTGCAGATGAGTCTGGGCACCGAAACGCTGCACTCAAACTAGAGAGCTTAGTATGTTACTTCCTCTGTAGTAATAATAGATTTAAGGGAGTGTCTAGGGCACATCTAGATGTGCTCTGGTTATTGCACATTTAAGTGAGTGAATCAAGCACAAAGAGAAAAAAAATATTCATACAAATCTCAACGTAAGATCAATGATATAGGACTTAGATGTGCAATACTTATGGCACATCTAGATGTGCTTTAGCAAAACCGTAGATTTAATTCTGGTGTTGTCTCAGTCCTTCTTGTCTATAATATGCCAATGATGTAGTATTACTGTTCAGCAACCTGATGCGGCTCTTCAGAAGCTTTCGGATTAGTCTATTTTATTACATGTTTGATATTCTTGATGACTTGGAACCACGGTCACACCAATCCGCCTCGCCAGTCTTTTGGATCTTCACGCCTTGCCCTTGCGCTGTCGACACCAAATATAAGGCGAAGTTGATACTGGCCGCGGCAAATGGACAGCCGATCTAGTCCACACAGGCCACGGGTGCGCCGTGTCAGCGAGGTCCCCATCCATGGCCTCAGCCATGTATGTAGAATAACAGCGACGGCATTCACCGGTCCAAGGCGAAGCAGCACTCAGCGAGGCGGACGATGAACCTGACCGACGTGGAGATTACTGCTGTGACCGCGACCCGCCACTGCGCATATCACAATTCATATCTTGTGTGGACACCTTTGATTCGATGAGTCTGCATCGTGTGGACCATCTGATTCGCAGGGTTACGTATCTTGCGGACTCTTTGATTCACGGGATTCTAATGACATAAGAACATGGTGAGAAATAAGTGATTTCATCGCTGTCAGTTCATCCTACATGATAGGATACCGTTGATTGCACCAAAGAAACGATATAGGAAATCACCTGTTTTTAAAAAGAAAAATTGGCATTAGGTGAAAAGTGCCCGGCAGGCGAAATGCAAGAGTTTCAAATCTTAAAAGATCAAACAATCTTTATACCGGAAAATCGCTTGGAAAGTCATACAAGATCCCTTTATATAAATATATAATAGAAGAAGCCCTCGGCACAAGTAGTAAAATAAGGGAGGTGATCAGGTGAAGTGCAGAGAGGCTTCATGGAGGCCCTGTCCAGCGGATCCACTCAGCACAAGTGCTCGCTTCAGCCTGCAACACATCCTCTTATTCTTCTTCCAGGACGACCCCCCTTCCTCTGCCCGTCGGTTAGTTATAAGCGTGCAGTGACAACAGGACAAGGTCACACCAATCATGCAGCTGACGCTCTTCAACTGCCTCTACCTGGCTTCCTCAAAGATATGGTATCACGGAACAGTGTGGCTTCAGAATTTCAGATCTGGATCACGTCCCGAATACGAAATTGAATTTTTCATCCTTTTTTTTTTTGCAAATGACGCGTAAAAGTACGCACGAAATGATGTGCATAAGTCTTGCGACAAAAAAGGCATTTCTGCTGACTATATCAATTGCACCGTGTCCTGCGTTTCCGGTACTTGTATCAAGGAGTTAGGGAAGCTGCTAAGACTATGGACATGGAGCAAACCAGAGCTGAAATGAAAGTGAGGCTAGATACAAATCCCGTGTGCGCTTCGTCGCCACAGGGTATGCGCCATGCGGCTTTCTCCACAGGCGTGGCGTGGAGATTCTGGAGGGCCCACACACAGGGATCAGGACGGGTTTCCTTTCTCCTGTAACGGAGGAGCAGGTCTGGGCTGCCGAACTCAACCGTTGCGTAACCGCTGGCATCAAGAGGCTGCAAACAAATACGGCAATCAGCTAGGGGTTTTCTTCAGAAGCGTTCTACTATTAAGGAAGCAAAAAAACTGAAAGCCCGCACGTATTTAACGAGATTGAAAATTGTTTATACCAAATCTACACATGAGAAGCTGACCATGAATACAGGATAATACATAAAGCAGGGCTAGATGATAGAATCTTAAACATGATAGTGAATAGTCTGCTAGGGCCGAGTTTTCAAAAAGAAATAGCCTGCTAGGAGTTATTTCAGAGATATTTCAACAAAGAATCAAATAAGTAAGACCCAGGTATTTTTTTTATAAGCTTCGAAATTGTTTATTCTAAATATATGTACGAGAAGTTGACCATGATAAAGCCTTAAAAGGAAAAATATTTAGAATATTAATGTACAAGTCCAACTGTTATGGACATCCACCTTCTAGAACAAATGAAGGGCAAACATAAATAAACAGGACAATGAGGCAGAACTTTCATGACACCACATATATCTCAGGCATGTTTCCAGGCCGCAAGCTAGAAGATTCAAATGTAGGGTGGGGTATTTGGCCACCACCACAAATGTAGCTTTCTTTGCTTTTCTCGTTATTTCCTGGAGCATCCAATAATCTCTCCAACGCATTGTAGGGCATTCCAGATGCAAGTATGTACATTGCATATTTAAAGTCAGTGTGTTCCCTAGAAAAGGTAAATCAAATGTACTGAAATAACTTGGTTTCTATTTCACTAGCTACACTTTATGATCACATAACTGCAGTTACCCTTGTTTTACTTAATCCCTTGACACCATTCAACCTTCCATATTTTCTCAGAGGTGTGTACAATTTATGTAAGCAGGATAATATTAAACTCAACCTACAGAGATGAAAGCCAAAACACACAAATGTACAATGAATAGTGATTTTATGCATTCGTCTTATTTGTCTTCCTCATTTCTCCCTGTCTTTGTTGACTGTATAGCTGAAGTAAATTTATTGTCGCATGCAGTTTATCAGAAAATTAAATTTGCCAGATGTAGTCCATCTCCGCCACTATTCGCCAGTTTTAATATTCTTATGGAAAACTTTAGAAACCTTTTAATGTACATTTGTTACTTGTTAAACACGTGCCAAGCCTTCCTATCTCTACTCAATATTTGTAAGATGGTGACCTAGAGCAAAACTAAACAGAAATGAAGTTGCAAGATTTTTTCCTATCTCTGCTCAATATTTTTACTTGAATGTTCTGCAATAAACACATGCCAAGCCTTCCATTATTGTGGGTCAACCTGACCCAGAATAAGTGTTTCGTATGTTGAGAGGTGTTATGAGCGGCATATATTACAGCCAGGCAGTTAGGGGCCTGGCCCAGTTATCTTATTGTGTTAGGGGCTTAGCCCAATTATATCATTAGGAGGATTATATAAACTCATGTAAGGACCCGTTTTGAGATTAAGCAAGAAGCAATCATTATTTGCTCGGCTTCCCGAAGGGAGACGGGAACCTAACCCTAGCCGCCTCCTGCCAACGCCGCCGCCTCTTCCCTCGCGCACGACGGTGCCCAGCCGCCGGCGACCGCGAGATCGCCCACGTCCAGCCCCCTCCTTCCCCTACAATCTCCGCCCTAGACCCAGTAGAACCCTAGTTTCTACCAAGAGGATGCGTTGTTCAATATCCATCAGGGATATAATATGCATATAACCACCAGAACACTGTCCAGTACTTCAAATATCTACAGGAACTAGTTTACCCAAATTGAGAACACAATATTAGTGATACCTCTTTTATGATCACTTCCCGTATAAGAAGCATGCGCATTTGCGGACAGCAAGGACCAAATAGATCAAGTTGGCTGTTTGTTAGCACATATAGCTTATTTCAAAATTGGAAATTTAATGGGCCTCCTGATGGCACCCTTTCATCTTGCAAGAAGCATGCGCATTTGCGGACAGCAAGGACCAAATAGATCAAGTTGGCTGTTTGTTAGCACATATAGCTTATTTCAAAATTGGAAATTTAATGGGCCTCCTGATGGCACCCTTTCATCTTGCAGCCTTGACAGTTTTGTAGTTAGTTTAGCTTCTTTCCATTCTCTTGTTTTTGTTTCATTTAGTTTTTGTTTGACCTATGCTTCGGGTTGGTGGCCTGCCAAACACGTACAGATGCATGTTTGAGAAGAAAAATAAACTTACTGGATATCTAGCATGGAGAGGAAGCTCTATTACAAGGTTATAGTCCATCGATGTGCTTGGCTTGAGATCAAAATGAATCTCAACAGCTGACCGGTTGGACAGAGCGGAGGGCAGTTCAAGGTTCGTGTCTCCAAAAACAGCAACATCGAGAAAAACTGCACGACAAAAATGAAAGTGAACATGACGCAAATGAGTAGTACCATAGTTGATTGGCCAGCTCAGAGTTTGGTTTCACCTTTCCGCTCAACAAAGTGCTGCAGCTCAAATGGGTCAGCAAATACACCACTCGGGAGCTTTTCAAGTATCACCAGATTGGCATCGTAACCATCAAGGAATTGTACCATGGCATCTTTGGAGTTACCAAATTTGATAGAATAGATCAAGCGGCGGTGGGAACCTTCGCCAACCAGCTGACGATTCACTTCTGAAAGCGTAGGCACATCAAGTTCATCAGCAAGTCCTTTACACAAGTCGGCGGTATCACGTACTTCGGTCAATTCACGATGCTCAGAGAGCTGGCTCGTCAAGGCATCGACATATGCGTCAGCAATGTACGTCCTAGAGCAAGGCATGCAGTTGACATATTGCTGGCTGCTGTCTGCCTGTTCAGAACAGGAGTCAGAAACTTGTCAACAAAATACTGTATTTAACAACTTGGAACAAAAGCACACCAAAATTCAAAATATGGCACCTAAAAAGTATGGCATGCCCTAATGTGCAAACAATTTTCCTAAAAAAACTGCAAACGAGGTACAGTTAATTACAACAGACCACTGAGCTCACAGGCAGCAAACTTAATCTAAATGAGATGACTGCTGCACATATCGTGCTGAGCTTTGTGGCTGAGTGAGGCTACATCACCAATGGCAAGACCATGGAAGCGTGGGAGCGTTGCGCAATCCATCTCTTGTCGAGCTACACATCGTACGGGCACCACAAGCCCCGGCCAACCCCAGCAGGCAGCAGCATGCCCAAAACTTGGTCGGGTTGCAGATTCCGCAGAAAATCGCACAAAAATGTTAGTACACACGCTCAAGGGTCCAGGCGAATCCGTTCCAACCCCCACGCACCTGCTTATCCGATGACGAAGCGTCGGAGATCCAAGCGGCGGCGAGAAGCGCCACGGCGAGCAAGCACGGCCCGCTCCCCACGGCCATGGAGATGGAAGGGAAGAATGGAAGAGGAGCCAGAAGCGGCCGGGGAAGGGCGCGGCCGGACGGGTTGTGGGTGCGTACGGCTGCGGCCTCGCGTACCGGATTTTCTTCTGTGGAGGCGATCTGGGGCGTGTGCCTCTTCCTTCTCCCTTCCCCTTCTTTCTTCCAAGCCTCCGAGGCATGAAGATGCAGGGATCTATGCGTGACGTTGAAACATGTTTTTTTTCACAAACTAGTCCCTATGAGCATGTTGTATGATGGAATTTTGCATACATGATCAGAGAGTCATCACCAGCTTAATTACAAACCATCAAATTCATCAATTTGGTCTTCTCCATTCCGTTTTTCATCTCGTTGAGCCAACACGCTTGAAAACAAAAATATTAGTATTTCCCAGATGACCATTTCTAAATCACTACAAACTACGAAGAACCATTTGATCAGACAAGGGATATAAAGATCTTGTCGAACGTTGACAAAGAAATGAATGTTCCTAATTTAACCTACACTATGGGCGACTCCCTCCGTTTCAAAATACTTGTGGTGGTTTTAGTTTAAATTTGAAACCAAGGGAGTATGATGGAACGAACACTTTGTGTATGGTACGTTCGTCGGTGCCCTTGAGAACTTATGAATAGTGCGCAAAATCCACTCGTGTACGGTGTATCTCGGTGCCCTTGAGAACTTATGAATAGGGCGCAAGCACTTGCTCATAGTGAAACAAAAATGAGCACGCAGTTGATAAGAACATTTTCCCCACAACTTATCCAAATGTTGTACTCCTGTATGTAAGATATGTTCAGCAAAGTTTGCCCTGTATACTGGCAATGTGAAAAACAACTATAGTACCTCTATATCTTAAGACTTACATGTATTATTTCACAGACAACAGGAAAATTTGCAAATATCTATACGGATAATCTTTCTTTCTCTTCTTATTACTTTACTGTAAACTAATCTTATCCTGTTGTATATATATGATGCATCTAATTCCACCAATAACCTCCAAAATATGCAGCCATGTTCACAAATCGGAGTAATGTCCTTCTCTTTACTTGAATGATCATCAATAAGGAAAAGACCCTGTCAGCCTCATATGATCAAGGGTGCTTCTCAAGCCATATTGTTCAACTGCCTGAATGCCTGCCCGAAAACCATCCCCATATTCCACGGATGAATCTGTTTCGATCTGATTCTTGATGAACGCCCCGAGTTTCTTCTCAAATTCTGTCTTCGCTCCCTTCTTTGAAGAGGTAGGAGCTGCCGACGAAGACGATGATGATGCCGAACTGGAAGCAGTGTTGCCACTAGCACCGGCGATGATTTCAGACTCAAGCCACAGGTGGGATAGGACTTGACAGATGCCTTCTTCAACCTGAGGGCTAAGAGATCTGTATCCTGCAGAAAGAAAGAAGGCGACGCTGAGAATAGGATGCAGATGCAAGTGAATCCAACTACAAATTTGTGAGCATGACTACATGTACCTTTAAGGCGAAGATATGCGTGCATCATCTCGTGAGCAAGGATGGAGCCAGTTTGCAATCTGGATGACAACTAAACTAATAAGGAAATCTATCTAGATACAATCCATACAAAAGAACTTCATGACAGATAATGACTTTCGAATAAGTAGGTCCTTAAGAACAACAATCTAGTACTCCCTCTGTCCCATAATATAAGAACGTTTTTGACACTAGTGTAGTGTCAAAAATGTTCTTATATTATGGGACGGAGGGAGTATGTGTTCATAGCAAGGGGAAATAAATTCTAGAACAATATACCTTGGTAGACCATACAGTATTAGGATGGCGGTCACTTCACACCGTCGGACCAGCTTGTATGGTCCTGTAATCATATCCATAATTCTGTTTCCTGGTCCAATTGTTGGTCTTTTTAAGATCTGGATGCATTAAATTGTCAGTACATGCAATTGCAGACTGTAAAATCTGCACATGCCTGCAATCAAATAAATTCAATAAGATGGCAGCATTTAGAAACTTACAGTTCTGACAATTTGTTCTTCAGAAAGGCATAGACCTCTGGTTTCAGGAAGGTGATGTCCCTGAGATGAAAGAAAATAAGAACAGATAAGTTGGGAGTATACAAAGCATTGTCTGCAAAATAACCAGATTATCATCCTACTTACACTTTTCTCAGCTTCCAATGCTTCATTCAGAGCCTGACGCTCAACCAAAAGTAATGGAACTTGCTGTTCTACTTTCATATTCAAACCTTCAAAAAATTCTTGAATGTCCATGTAAAGGTGTTGGCATTCAGGAGAGTCCATTGTTGCAGAAGTGAGACATTCCAAGCACAGTTTCCTCCCATCGTCTAATGTAATATATTTGATGTCCGTTGGCTGAATTTCAGGATGAAACGAAACAAATTACTCTAGATAATCTTCAAAGTCAAAGAAAAATAATCACAGATAGCTAAGCATATGAGGAATACATCACTATAAGAAAAGGAGTAATTGTAGAATTAATTGGAACAAATAATACAGCATACTTTCTGTTTATTAGTTTGTTAGATAAGCTTCTATCAAGCATTATATCAAGCCAGAGTTTCAAGATCCTGGCAATAAAAATCGCAGGTCAATGTTCAGAACCGAAATGATAATAAGTCATTTATTTACAATGTTGATTGTTCGACCTTTTTCTCACCCATTAACACTGATAATGAGCCATTATACTGGCACCAAGAACATTATTTTGATTGCTAGTGTTTTGTTGTTGAGGCATCTTGTAATGGCCGTCTAATCAGGTGTTGCCTTGTTGATGGGGCGCTTAGTTGCATTTGCCTAGTCTTATCTCTTATGCATGTATTTGGTCCTTTCTATCAATGCATCAACACAAAAGCTTTTGCGTCTTCTCAGAGGAAAAAAATTATTTAACCTTCACTATTTTCCAAATTTTAATGAAAATTTTCTGGTTACTTCCAGTAACAGGAACCAGTCAACCTGGACGAATTGGTCTGGTTGGTTATAAAATCCTTATTTACCTCCATTCTTTCACAGCTGCAACACCTAGGAGTGCCATCATCTTCATGGGAAGGGCAGTACTTTTGCATCCAAAAAGGATGTGCTCGGTATTCGATCAGGCCATTCTTATTTGTCGGAATCTGGGGAAGAAAATGCAATAACCACGATTCAATGCCCAGATCAAGAATTTAACTCTAGCCAACACTTTCATGCTCGTTTTCTCAAGAAAATAATTGAATGATTATCCATAAACATGGATGGCAAACACTCACAAAGTTCTTGCAGACATCACATTTTGGATGAAAAAAATCTTTATAGCAGGATTTGTGGTATGGCTGGTCTTCATGCATGGCGAACTACACAGTAAAAAGATTAGCATCAATTATTTAATCTAATTGAAGCATGGCACGTGGTGATATAGTAGGCTTATATACCTCATACTCTGATATGGGCTTATTGCAAGCATAACATTTGAAGCACTGAGGATGCCAAACTTCATCCATACAACTAAGAAAACGCCCATGACCAATTGGCTTTCTGCATCCAGCACAAGTCCTACACAAGTAAGAAACAGCTATGAATAGAAGCACACAATAGTAGGTTCTTCTGATCAAGTTAAGATCGGCATCCAAACTACTGTTAGTGTGATGGTGCTTGTAACAAGTCAAAAAGATGAGATAGCCAATTTGCATACTATGGAGCTAATCATGCTGTGCTTTATGAGAAATGCTAGCATATGTGTAGAGCTAACCATTCCGCAATTTCATGAAACCTGCAAGCTGATAGAAAGTACCAAGGACTGACCCTCGTTATGACTTACTTTCCTTTCACCATTTATGTTCGATTCAATCACCAAATCAGCACTTTTGAGCTTCCAAAAGGAGAAAGGGGCTCACAGTGTATCAGGTGAAGAAACATACTACATACCAAGAATATTTCCAAATAGAACACGTGTTGAGAAAACAAACGGAAAACAACTTATGATATTTAAAATTACAACATTGCTTAAAAAATTGAAATATCCAACAAACTGTAGCATCCAGTAGTCACCTGAATCCACTTGAGGGTAAGACAGGCTGATGTGGCTCCCTTGCTGGGATACTCTCTGATGGAACATTCTCAACAGGAGCATTTTGACGAGGAGGAGACTCGGTATTAAGGCTCTCCTGGAGAGCCCGTGCAAGTTGCTCATCTTCCTCCAAACTATAATCAGGATCTGCATTAAAATAAACTTATGAAAATTGTAAAGAAAAAAAAGGAACAACTTTTACTCAGTAACTGACTGTACTAGATTTCCATATCGGCGGTCACTGCCCCCAAGGAGATTATATTTATTCATAATATAAGACAAGAATAGTCAATAACAAATAGAATGCACAAAGAGGCAAGAGGATAAGAATGGCTTGGATAATACTAACCAATAGCCTTTCCCTTATTCGGATCTTGCTCTGCTAAGGATAATGCAATAGCACGAGCTATATCTTCACTGTCGCTCTCATCATATGCATCCTACATCAATCATGACGAGCAACTTGAATAGCCATTCTTTGTTATAACAGGAATATGCATTCAATATGTTCATAACTAGCTTGTTTAAACTTCTATCAAATGTGTCTATGCTTCCTTGTGTAGACAGGTTATGAACAAGAAAGAACTAGCTACAATAAAAGTAGAAAGGATAAATGACTGGGAAGTATATGCATATGGATAGATAGTGAAGTAAATGACAAGAAGCTAACTCTGGTATGCTCAGATTGGTTGCCTTCATGCCAGTGGCCATCATAATGACCCCTTGAAACTCTGTTTACTGAGCCTTTAAATATTTTGTTTAACCAACCCATGATCTGGAGCTTATATGAGGATCAAATTTCTTTGAGCCTGCAACCGGGAACAGGGTGAATTCAGAAACAGAACTTGTTGAGACCTTCATAATGACGTGCATTAATTTGCGTTGCAGTGGCAGATCTTGACTTCAGTAAGACAAGGCTAGCATCTATGCATTATGATACGAGCCACATCGAAC